GTGACAACTCTATGCCTGTGAACCGAGATTTCCCTGGGACTGCGGCAAACTATGTAGGATGGTAATTGTACCTACGAAAGGTAGGGGATCAAACTCGGGACATTGGGCATGGCAGGTAAATACTTCCTCTCTACTATTAAAGTGAATTTTAGCCCTTCGATAAAAACCCTGCAGTTGCTTTTGAAGAGATGCAAACTAAACCGCGAAATGCGAAGCAGCCTCCGCAGAAGGTGCAACTTCACGCGGATGCCCAACAGCACAGAGCAAGCGTCCTTTGAGTTTCTGTTTCCTTTCGCTCTGAGGGACGATGCCTGGGGTGTTGGGCAGGGTGGCACTGGGGCTTGTGATAAGATAGGTCACCAACAGTTGCTTTAAGACAAGAAAAGGGAAAGCAGTAAAATTTAAAGATCAATTTTTTTTTTTTTTGAGACAGGGTCTCACTAAATCACTGAATTCCCAGGCTGAGCTCAAAGTGGCAGTCCTCATGCCTCAGCCTCCCAGAGTGCTGGGATGACAGGTGTAAATCACCGTGCTCGGTTTGGATGTATTTTCTGTAAACAATATCTTGAGATATTTCTAAAGATATATATACAGCAGGAAGGTTGTTCTCTTTTATGTGAACTCTGAAGAATATAATTCCATATTATCATTTTAAATAGCCATTTCTACTGCCAAAAATTTTATGGCAATAAATGAGGTAACATCTATTGTGAAATCTGTTTTTCTCACACCCTTATTTGTGAAGAAGTTTCCCCCATTGGAAATGGTAATCAGATGAAATATGATAATGTTTAGGTAGGAAGTTGGCACCTATAAAATAGTTTTAGCATAAAATAAGTAGAACATCCTGCAAGTCACACCGATGGGTACAAGAAACTATCTCAGCATAATTTTATTTTTTCACCTGTCACCCTTTTATCCTTCTTCCCTCCCCCCTTCTTCCTCTCTTCCTTATTTCCTTCGTAGTGGTGCTGGGGATCAAACTCAGGACATTGGGCATGGCATGTAAATGCTTCATCTCTGACCTGTGAGCCTAGTCCTGTCAGCACATTCAGCACGGACTTCTGTGGAGCTTTCATTACAGCAGGTGAAAGGTGATTATACGTGAGAACCATGGATTCAGTCTGTGTATCGGGAGTTTTGCTGCTTGTAAACATTTCAAGGGAGAGACAGATATATTCACAAGAAATGAAGAAAAGATTTTTGTGTCATACAGAGATTTTGACATTTGCCTCCAGGTGATATCAGCATAAGAGCTGAAAATTACTAAAGATCCAAAATTTTAAATTTGTAACTACTTCTACTTTTATATTTGTAACTACTTCTACATATTAAATATTGAGGAGCTATTATACCCTGTGGTGAAAGAAACAGTATATGTTACATATGTGGATACAGACAACAATGAAAATATTTACCACTGGAAAAAAAGAGAAAAGAAGAAGACAATATTTATCACTGAAAAAGAACAAATTCAGACTTAGGAAAGGAGAGATTTTATTCAAAAAGTGATGGCAATAGGGTGAATCCTCCAACCACAGTCTCTGCAAATGTCTAAGATTTACACAGAGTTATCTTTTCTTCTATTTGGAGGGGAAACAATGCTAGAAAGTACCATGGGTGGGCAGGGGACAAGGGACAAGCCCCTACAACAAACTTAGGCAACATATGCTCTGTCACCACTCCCCCAGGAGGGTGTTAAGAAGGAGATGTTGATTTGTTTTACAAGGCGCAAGGCGATCCACAGTTCCATGCTGTGGGAGGAATGACGCTTAACTGAAGTTTCAGTCAGTCCGTTATTGATCAGCAGGACAAACATTTCAATACTGGGATGTGGTTGGTTGTGTATCTTGCTCCTTCCTGTGTAAACCAGAGTGGTGTATTAGATTTCCTGAAGAGCTGTGGATTCCTGTGGCTGTTGGGAGGGAGCTGTTTCTAGGAAAAGGGTAGGGTGGGATGGGATTCTTTAACCTGTATCTTCACAGGGTTCCAGGATTGGAGTAAAGGTCAACATTGTCTCCATATGTTATAAAAGCAAGAATATTTAGCCAGGTATGGTGGTACACACTTGTAATCCCAGCACTATGGGAGGCTGAGGCAAGATAAGCACAAGTTGCAGTCCAGCCTGGGCAATTTATTGACATAGTGAGATGCTGTCTCAGAATTAAAACAAACAAACAAACAAAAATGCAAAAGGGCTAGGGATGTAGCTAACTGCAAAGGTCGTGGATTGAACTCCCAGTTCTAAAATTAATTAATATTAATTTATTAATAATAAAACCAAGACAATTTTAAAAATCACATTGTATCACATTTGAAAATTGAATATTAGAAACTTGAAACTTATAATGACAGACTAAAGACATAACTCAGTGATAGAGGGCTTACATAGCATGCTTGAGGCCCTGGGTTTGATCCCTACAACCACCAATAAATAAATAAATAAACAAACTTATAATAACATCAACAAACTTGTTCAGGTACCAAGGCCTGTGAATGACAGCGCAGGGCCCTGAGTGTGCTTGGTGGCTGTGTGGTACTGTGCCTGTCACATATGAGACAATTTGTTTGTTTTAATTTTGTCCAGGCAAGCCTTGAACTTGCCATCATCCTGCCTCAGCCTCTTCAGTAGCTAGGATTACAGGCGTGTGCCAGGATGCTCAACTTTAGTTTTTGTTGATTAGTTTTTTTGTAGCACTGGAGATAGAACCCTTGATACTAGGCAAATGCTCTTCCACTGAGCTACACCCAACTTTAAAGCTATTTATCCCTTTAAAGCTGTTTATGTCACAAAACCTGCTACCCTTTATGTCATTTCTCTACAGTTTTTGGGAACACATACAGGGGGTGATCATAACATACAATGAAATTTTTAATTTTAAAAATTTGGTTACAGTAAAAGACACATTGCCAATGAATGCCCCTTGAAATATGACCTCTCACTTCAAACACACTTATTACATCACTCTTGCCACTTTCTGAAGCAATTCTGAAAGTCCATTTTAATGAATGTCTTTAGGAGGTGTAATAAAAAAATATAAATGCTGATGCCAAGTGCCATCCAGAGGAAAGACAGGGTCATAAAGCCATTAGAGTGCATCTTTACCCATCCTGTTATTCACTGGATCCGGCACTGTGTGACTTCTGGCTCTTCTTCAAGTCAAAACGACCGTGAAAGGGAAACATTTTGAATCAATGCAGGAAATCAAGGTAGTCAATACAACACTATTACCAAAGACACTCACGAAAGAGGACTGTAGAAGTGCTTCGGAAAGTGGTAAGAATGATGAGAATATGTGCTTGCAAAGTGAGGGGGAGGATTTTGAGAAGTACTGTAATGCATCTTTCACTGTAATATGCTTTAAAATTTTTTTAAGTTTTGTTTTAGTCTTTTTTTCAGGTTTTTAAAAAAAATTTTTGAGTCAGAGTCTCACCATGTAGTTCAGGAAGGCCTAGAACTTGTGGTGATCTATCTGACTCAGCCTTCCAAGTACTGGAATTATAGGCATGTGCTACCACACCCAGCCTGTTTTTTAGAATTTAAATATTCACTTTTCCTGCTGATCATGGAAAAGAATATGCACATACATTCTAAATTTTTCAGTCAGTACAGGCAGTAATTAAAATGTCAGGCCCATGTTACATTAAATTAACCTAAGTGTCCTGGCATTCCCTCTTCTACCAGCTAAACTCTGTGAAGGACAAGTTGGACGTCCTCTTCCTTTATGAAAGCAGTACTGCAATAAAGTGATGAGGATAAGCTTTTCTTTATCAAAATGAAGAAAGTTTATTGCATTCTATACTATGAAAATCAAAGCTGTAGGTAAATTTGCATTCAGATTGGGTACGTAGGGAGTAATCAGCATGTGTGTGAACTTGGTATTACTTTAAAACACTTTTATGTCCACAAACCTGTAGAATGTAATCCCTCAAGAAGGACCTACTAAGGATTCAGTGTATCTAACACAGTACACACAAACTGAACTCAGTTCTCCAAGAAATGCTGTTTATTCCACTTTAAGAAAAGTAAGGAAATAAGCTGGACGTGGTGCCACAGATCTGTAATGCCAGCCACTCTGGAGTCTGAGGCTGGAGGATCATGAATTTGAGGACAGCCTGGGCTGCATACAGAGTTTCAGGCCAACCTGAACTACACAGCCAGACCCTGTCAGAAATAGAAAGCAAGCAAGCAAGCTGGGGACATAACAGCTTAGTGATACAGTGCTCCTGGGTAAGAGTTCCAAAACTATAAAAAATAAAATAAAAGTTTGGAAAAATATAATTGAAAACAAAAACAATCTTCTCTGAGCCCAGAAATTCTCTCCACAAAGAGAATACAGAAAGAAAGCACTTTTTAAAAAGAAAATAAGTAAATTTAGCTCAGAATGTGATGAGCAAGAGAAGCAATCTGCTAAGAGATTGAAAACAGAGGGGGAAAAAAATTCTCTTTTTTCCCCCTGGTGCTAAGAATTGAACCCTAGGCCCTTGTACTGAGCTATATTCCCAGCCCTTTTTATTTTTTTTAACTTCCCTATATTGGTGTAATATCCCTTAGTTATTGCGGGCTGATCAGGTCTGCAATTTCCCAAACGAGTGTACAGTGAAGGCTAAATAAAAAGAGGAAAATGGAGTGATTTCAGAGCTCCAGGAGAATCAAAGCCCTCTCACAGAACTGAGATTGTCTCAGGGCTAAGACCAAGACTTTTACTGGGCATCCTGTATTTATTTGGTTATCAGAAGAAGGGAAGGGAGTATTCAAGATGGGCAGAATCACTCAAGGACTTCTCCAAGTAAGGTATTAAATTAATCTGTAATAAGGATTAAGTTAATCCACTCAGGATTGTGATGCCTGAGGCTATAATCTTTATCTAGTTGAGGTTGGATCCAGGAGTCCTTGATCTTGTCTTATCCTTTGAGGCTTTCTGGCTTCATCTGCCATTACAGGCTTTAGTGGGGATTAATGACTTACAGAGGTTCACTTACTCTGAGTCCGCTGCCCATTTCCAGACAAGGAGTCTAGGTCTTGGACAGATTCACAAGTGAACATGAAAAGCGAATTGATTAAGTCCTGCTCAGGGTTGCTTCGTAGTGGTCTCCATCATCTGTAGCTCTTTTTTGTATTTGATTTTCATACAAGGCCTTAATAAATTCCTCAGGCTAAATCTGAACTTGCCTCAGCCTCCCAGAGTGCTGGAATTACATACATGTGCCAGTATTTTCAGTTAAAAACTTCATCCTTTTATTTAATCCATTTCATACTCCTTTCAGAATAAACCCAAATTTGCTCTTCCCTTATAAAGATACAGGAATACATAATAGCATAATAGTTTATGCTGAACTACTTGGCAACTTTGGTGGCTACCTGTTTGTACCAAATTAGCTCTATCTAGAAGCTTCAGATAAAAATCCAAACTCATACATTTCTGACAGATGGCAGTTTTCCACCATAGAGCAGATGACCAAGCTAGTTAGGTCCCACAGTCTCACAGAAATACACAGATACAGGTGCCATCTTCTTGCTGCTAATATTCCAAGCAGACGCTCTTAACTCTTTCAGCAAGACATCCTGAGATCATTAAACTGACAAAAATTTCATTAAGTTTCTAAAAACACATTTCAGGCTGGGCGTGGTGGCACATACCTGTAATCCCAGTTACTCCGGAGGTTGCCGTAGGAAGATCACAAGTTCGAAGACAGCCTGGGCAGTTTAAAGAAGACTTTGTTTCAGAAAATATAAAGGACTGGCATGTACCTCACTGATACCACACATGCATATATATGTTTCTATAAAGTAAGCAATTAACAAAATGTCAATAGTTACAGCCGTACCTATCAATATCTATGTAAATGGATTAAACTCCAAATCCAAAAAGAAGTGGCTGAATCATTAAAAAAACAAGACTGGGGATGTAATTCAATGGTAGGGCGCTTAAAAACATGTGTAAGGTTCAATCCCCACTGACACCAAAAATAACTAGAAAAAGCAGTAACAGAGAAACCCCCCAAATCAGGACCCAGCATGTAAGCTGTCCAACAGAAGCTGCACACGGTAATTTTTGGTAGCTCAAGCCCCCTTTCTCCCTGTGGCCCGCCCACGTCCCCGCGCCTCTTTTATGCCCCGCCCACTGCCCTGTTTCCTGCCTTTTCGGGCCTCTTGCCCCGCCCCCGTTCCTTTTCTCCCGCCTTGGCACCGCCCACTGTTTCATCGGGACCTGTCCAAACCGGCTTCTCTCCACGCCACGCCCCTCATTCGTTGCGTAATCCTGGCCCCGCCTATCCCCTCTGCTAGCCCCGCCCGCCTTATTGGGCTGCGCGCGCCGCGCGGTTTCCTGCAGACCCGGAAGTTGTTCCGGCGGAGAGAAGGTTAGAGCGCCCCGTGTGAGTTTCCTTCTGACTGGGTTGGGTCTGCGCTTCGCGGTCCCCTGCTGTGTCCACGGTCGCAATCTAGGTCCCTGGGGATGTTCAGGACCTGCCCCGCCCCCTCCACCCCCGGCGCTCGAGGCCGGTGCTGCAGTCCCGCCTGGGCCGCGGGCGCCTCCCCCCGGGCCGGGTCCCGCAGGCTCCCCTCGCGGGGACCTGGACCCGCCCTGTGACTTCAGGGTTCCCGCGTCCCGAATGCCGCCCCGGGGAAGTGTGCTGCTCTCCGGGCACGTCCCTTGCCTTTGCTTAAGGCTCCATTTCCCGCTCCGTCCAGCCCTTTCCCTGGAACTCCAGGAGCCTGTGTCCAGTTTCCTCCGGGACGTCTAACCAGCGTCTCCCCCTTGGGGTACCCGAAATTGATTTGATTTCTGTGAAGTTACGGATTGAACACAGGCCTTCTGCACTGTACAGTATTTTTAAAACACGTTTAAAAAATTTTTTTTTGAAACAGAATCTGCTAAATTGCTCAGGCTACGCTCAAGTGATGGCATATGGGGTGTGTGGCTTTCTGAGTTTCCCTACACATGTTCCCTCTGTATTCCTCCACGTGTCAGGCCAGGGTGACACCCTGGGACTCAGGTGACCATTTCAGCGTGTCCTTAAAATATATTCTGTAAGGGATTTTTTTCCTTTGAAATTGCCGTCCTGGATGTCATGTGAGGGTTCTTTCTCCCAGTGAGCCACATTCCCAGCCCTTTTAAGTTTAAGAAAAAATGAGATGTTTGCTTTAAACAGGTGAAGGAATATGTAGTTCCCAGAATTCTTGTGAAGTGTAAGTAATGTTAGAAGCCTCGGCCCTGCCTGTGTTGCTTCCAGGGTCTCTGTTCGCATCTCTTGCGGTGTCCTCACTCACAGCACTCTGCTTTAGCCACATGGGCCGCTCTTCTTTTCCCCAGGACCAAGCCTGTTTCTGTCTCAGGGCTTTCATTTGGGCTGTCCCTCTGCCCAGAACTCTGGCACCTCAGCTGTGAGTGGCAAGTACCCTCCCTTCCTTAAGTCTTTGTACTACTGTCATCCTCTCCACAGAGATCTGTGGTTTGACGAACTGCACTCCCAGCCGCGTTCTCAATCCCACTTTTGTCCATAGTCTGTTCTGCATGTTTTTTCCTGGGCCTTCCACTTTTACTGTCTGGCTTGGCTCCAAGTAGGGAGCGGAGCCAGAGACAGGAGCTGGTGCCCTCCAGAGTTAGCTGGGAAAGAACAGTTTTTCTCCCATTACATTTTCAGTACAACCCTGAACACTTCTGATGCCAGAGGTATGGGCTCTTTCTCCAGTGGACACCACTTGGGCTCCCTTAATTTGGTTCGTGTGTGTACTTGGAGTTGAAGTCGGATCCCACAGATTAAGGACTCCATCCTGAAAGACTGCTGTACGCATCAGATATCAAGCACAGGTAGTAGGTTGTTATCTAGGCTTCTGACCTATAACTCCCTCCTCAGGTTTAATTACTTTGTAAGGACATTTCACAGAAATGGAACACTGGCATTCACCAGTTTATTGTATTAGTAAGGCTCTGATAAAGGACACAGATGAACAGCTGAGATGTGTAGGGTGAGGACAGGGATGGTTCTTAGTAGGGAAGCTTCTGTTCTCCTGAGTTTGATGCAATACCCTCTTAGCAGTTGGAGCTCTATAGATAGAAGTTTGTATAAAGGCTTGATCACAAAGGCATGATAGATTAGTCACTTGATCTCTAGCTCCTCACCTCATGTAATGGGCCACAGGCAAAACACATGTGAACAAAAATGAATGAAATTACCTTCAGGCTATTTTTATAAGGCTTACTTGAAATAGAAGTTAATTTCATGTTTAGACTTGGATCCTGTCCCCAAGATATCATCTTATGTAGATGCCAACATTCCGAAGTATGTGCACAATTTGAAAACTTTTAGTCCCAAGCATTTTGAATAAGATTGTGTATATGTGTGTGTGTGTGTGTGTGTGTGTATACACACACACAGATTTTTAAAAAAATTTACCCCTTCCCCCAGTAGTGCTAAACCTTAGCTTCCCATTGGAGACCTGAAGCATTTTGTAAGTGCATCTTCTCTGCCCACTTGTGAATGAGAGATTGTCATTCATAAAGCAGGGCTGGAGTCCACCCTTCATACTATCTGGTGCCTCAAGTGATTCTAATCTGCACTCACCATCGGATACCCAGGCTGTGTGCCCTCCATTTCTGAAGGCTAAGATTAGTCTGTGATCCACAGGTGGGTGAGGGAGGTTGTGTTTTGCCTCCAGTTGGGCTGAGTCTGTGACTTGAAGGCTCAGTCAGCTCAGATCCCCAATGCTCCAGTGTATACATGGGTTTCTGTAGAAGGGAGTGAGTTCTGGAAACTCAGTCTGTGGACTTTTTCCTCTTGGTGCATGGGCAGTGGAGGATCACCGTTTTGGCTGGTTAGGTCTTTCCTACATTGTAGCTCTGGAGTGGGTACTTGGAATCCTAAGCATTAAGTAACTTATTTTAACCGTTCCAGGTTGACTGCTAAAGACTTACATTGCTTGAGGAAGAGGTCCAGAAGTGAAGGAAAAGGAGTCAGTAATGGCTTTTGCTCAGGTAAAGTCAATCTTGTGCTGATTGAGCTCCTGCCTCACACATTTGCTTTCCCTCACCTGGTCCTCCCTAAGACTCTCCCAGCTCCACCCACCAAGGGCGATCTTGTGAGCAGGCTCTGTTGGTCATGGTCCCAGGGAAGTGTAAAAGTTTTGGTACTTCTTACAGCTTCAGGCATTGCTGAGGGTCTTGGAACAAGCCTTCTAGACCTGTTTTACGTATTTTTTTCTTTATGTATAGGTGTGGGAAGGTTTTATGTTTCTAAGAATGTACTCATTTCTAGGCTAAAGTTTGTTGGCATAAAATATTTTATGGGAGTGCCTTTTTATTTCTGGGACATCAGTTATAATGTCCGTTCTTTCCTTTCTAATTTGAGTTGAGTCTTTCTCTTTCTTAAGTAGTCTAGGTAAGAGTTTGTCAGTTATATTCATCTTTTCCAAGACCCCACTCTTGGTTATTTTGATTTTTGTCTGATTTTTCAGGTTTCTACTTCACTTATCTCTGCTGTAATCTGTTATTTCTCTCCTTCTGCTAACCTTGTGTTTAGTGGTTTGTTTTTTTTTTTTCTATATTCTTGAGATAAAAAATTAGATTGTTGACATGGTCTTTCCTTTTTTAAAAATTTTTTTAAACAAAAATGTGAGTTTTAAGAAAAAGATCATAAAAATTTTATGTATTTGTGGGGTACCACACAATGTTTAGGTATATGTATACAAGATCTTTCTTCTTTTTACGTGGCTTTACTCTTAAAAACTTTTTTTTACTGCTGTGTTCACTGCATCTCATAAATTTTAGTATATTGTATTTTAGTTTGTTTCCAGATAGTTCCTAAATTATGTTGTGATTTTTTTTTTCTTTGATGCAGGGTATTTTTAAAAGGGATTTTGTTTTGTTTTTTGGTTGAACTGAGGCCTCATGTGCAAGACAAGTGCTCTGCCACTGAACTACATCCTTATCCTTTAAAAAAAAATTATTTTCCTTGCGATTAGGTTCTGGCCTTTGAGACAAATCTTGGCAAATTTTAAAAGATTGAAATCGTACAAAATATCTTCTCCAAGGGGAATAGAATGGAATAGAATAGAATAAATAACAAAAAGAAAACTGGAAAGTCTATTAACTCGTCATTAGCCAAGTGAGATGGCGTAAAGGCAAGAGGTTGGGGCAGCAGCCTCACAACTTCAAAGCCAGCCTGGGCAGCTATTCATGATCCTGTCTCACAGTAAAATTATAGGGGCTGGGGATGTAGCTAAGCACTTTTCTAGTATGCAAGAGGCCATTGGTTCAATCCCCTGTACCAAAAAAAAGGTATATTTCTTAGTGTCTGCCTGGTGCGTTGACTGTTTTATTATTATATAATATCCTTTGTATCTTGTGACAGTTTGTGTCTTTAAGTCTATTCCTGCTCTCTTTTAAGTTCCCATTTGCATGGACTATCAATTTCTACCCTTTTACTTTTACCCTGTTGATTTCCTTAGCTCTAAAATGAGTCTCTTGTAGTGAACCTATAGTTGTGTCTCATTCTTTATATCGATTTAACAATGTATACGTACGTGTGTGTATACATTTTTTTTTTTTTTTTTTTTTTTAAGAGAAGCACTAGTTTAGGTTGGCCTTGGATTCACTGTATAGCCCAGCCTGTCCTCCAGCTCATCTTCTTCCCTTAGCCTCCCAGTTGCTGAGATTACAGGTGTGTGCCACCACTGCCAGCCCTCCATTTATACTTAAAGAAGTACTGATTGGAAATAATTTACTGTTGATATTTTATTAATTATGTTGTGACTATTTTTTTTTTTCCCTCCTCACTTCCCTTGCTGTCTTCTTTAATTAATTAGTTAGCTGCATGCTCTGGGGACTGAACCCAAAGGCCTTGTGCCTGCTAGGCAAGTGGTCTATCACTGATCCACATCCCTAACCCAGCTCATTTATTTTTTGTAGCAGTGTGCTTTGATTGCTTTCTCAGTTCCTTTTGTCTATGTTCTGTAGATTCTTTCTGTGTGTTTATAAGTCCAATTACCTAAAACACATTAAGGTTATAACAATGTGTTTGAAGTAGGTGACAGGTTAAAGTGACTACATATAGAAAGTGCACTCCTTCACTTCTTGCCTCTGTTACTGGTGACACAAATGACCTCTTTATATTGTGTATGCATTAATGTAGATTTATAGTTAACTGTATGCTTTTCTTTTTAAAATTCTTTATCAAGTGTAAAAGCACATGCATGTAATCCCACCACATGGGAGGCTGAGGCAGGAGAATCATTGGGAGTTTGAGACCAGCCTGGGCTACAGAGTGAGATCAAGGCCAGCCTGAACTGCATGGCAAGACCCTGTCTCAAAAGATAAAAAAAAAATAAGTAAAAATGAAAAGTGATTTATACACTGACATTAAATAGTGCAAGATTCTGTAGATGTTAATAATTTATGTTTGGGAGTTTTCTATTTTTAAATGGGTTTATGTTGCTGTTTATCATCCTTTTGCTTCAACCTGAAGACAAGACTGACAGGTATTAGCTTGCTTTGCTTTTGAGAGTCTTAATTTCCCCTTCTTTGAAAGATAATTTTCCTAGACACAGTATTTTTGATTGGCAGCTTTTGGTGGTATCCAGTGAGTCCTTTCTGCTCCCTTCCTATTTCTTCATTGTTTGTTTTATTTTCTTTCTTTGTTAAATTTTTAAGTTTGGCTGACTGGGAGATGCAGTTCATAGGAACTGCCAGCATTGGGAGATGATCTCACGTCTATCATTAGCCCGGGAAAAGACCAAATTCGAAATTGAAATAAAATTTCTATTGACCATATACTGTTTCTATATAAGTTGAAAACTTGTAAGTTGAACCATCTTTTACCCATACAAGGACTAACTAAAAAATACAGTGAATATTTAAGTTAAAAAGTGTATTACAGCAAAACACGCATTGCCATCAATCACCCTCCTTGAATGTTTCCCCTCACCTTGAATATACTTACAGCATTGTTCTTACCCCTTTCTGGTTTTCATTTGTTTCCTCTTTTTTCTTGCCCTTTTCTGAAACAATTCTGAAAGTCTTCTTTTGTGAGTGTCCTTATGAGGTATGACAAAAAGTACAGTGAATACTGCCACTAAGTGCTATCCGCAGAAAAATAGACTTATAAAAACATTACAGTGTGCCTTCATCTCCCTTACTCACCAAATCAGGTATTGTGTTACTTCTTGTTGTACCTCTCGGTGAAAATGACCATGAAAAGAAAGCATTTTGAATTGATTCAGTGCATCAAGACAGCCATAGCAGCACAGCTAAAGACAGTAACAAAAAAGGACTTCCAGAACTGCATTAGAAAGTGACGAGAACCGTAGGATGACTGTTTGGAGTGAGAGGGAACATTTTGAGGGAGATTAATGGTAATGTGTCTTTTACTATGATAAATGTTTTTTGTAATAAATTTTAAACACTTAAACCCACCATATTTTTCAATCACATTGCAGATGTGTGTACATGAGTACAGGCCTACACAAATCCTTGACTTTTATAAAAGATACACATAATCATGCATCAAAGTTTTGTTTGTTTGTTTTTTCCATAATCCTTGGTATTGAACCCAGGGGTGCTGTACCACTGAGCAACATCCCCACCCCTTTTTATTTTTTTATTTTGAAACAGGGTCCTCTGATTTGCCACAGGTGTCCTTGATCTTGTGATGCTCCTGCCTTAGCCTCTGGAGTAGGTGGGATTACAGGCACACACCACCATGCCTGGCTAAGCTTTTTTACTGTTGAAATAACATCTGACATATTTTCCACCACCATAAAATTTTCTTTGCATTATCTCATGGGTAAATTAAATAATAAGAATGCTAACATATTACATGTGCAAATGTGTACAATTCCGTCATTAGGTTTCAAGTCTCTTAGGGAGCAGTAAAAATACTTTTGATGCTGTATGTTTAGGTTCTATTTTAAAGGCAGTTACCTGTATTCAGCTGTTCATGCTGCTATTTCTTAGCTATTTGACCTGAAATGCGTTTGTGTCTGTGACACAGTTATGTGCTAGTAAGACGGCAATATTTCTTTCCCTCATAGGCTATTGTGTTGTTATATGAATTAGTACATGTGAGGCATTTGGAATAATTGCAAACATACAGGAAGTGTTCAGAAGCTTTAATCATTGCTATTGGTGTCACCATTGTATTTTTTTAGATTCTGACCTTTTTTTTTAAAAGCACTGTAGACTCTGTTATCTCTGAATTAATCAATTGTGCTATATAGTTCCAGGTACTGAGTATTACTTAATGTGTGGAACATGACACTGTGAATATAACCATGTATTAATTTTTCCTATATAAGTTCCTTATATTTTACGCAAAAGTGAGAAGTCACTGATTTAGAGGATGCTTAGCCTCTTGTAGAAAAGTATAATAAAATTAGAAACACGTAATTTGCTTAAAGTTACTTTTACATGAGTCTCAATTAAAACAAATCAATCTTTGGACCACTCTCTTGTAATCATTTCGTTTGAAGATGGTAATTCTCCCTATCTGCCCTTGTCAAAGTACGATTTTTTTGTTTCAGGTTCTGGTGACCTTCAGAGATGTAGCTGTAGAATTCTCCCAGGAGGAGTGGGAATCCCTGGACCTCACTCAGAGGGCTCTGTACAAGGAGGTGATACTGGAGAACTACAGGAATCTGGTTTCACTAGGTGAGGATAACTTCCTTCCAGAAGTCAGGATCTGCCCCGTGACTCTGCATTTCCCTAGTGTGTATCTAGGGAGGCTCTGACCTGCTTGATATGTCATTGGTGGATCTGGAGAGGAAATATGCATATAGCCTACAGCAGACCTTTTTTTTTTTAGGTACTGGGAATCGAACTCATGACCTCAGGCTTGCTAGGCAAGTGCTTATGTCTCTGAGCTACATCTCCAGCCCTGCATGTTTTTCAGTTTTTTTAAGATAGGGTCTTGCTAAGTAGCTCAGGCTGGCCTTAAACTCACTATGTAGCCAGGGTGCCCTCAAACTCATGATCCTCCTGCTTCAGCCTCCCAAGTGCTCAGATTAACAGCATGCACCACCAGTGCTGGCTTATAGCAGACTTTTAAAATATCTGTAGTTTTTTTTTTGTTATTTTACATCTCTGCTTGTGATTCAGTAGGAGAGTAGATGCATATTACAGTATACCCTAAGCGTTCAGAAGATGGCAATCGGTAGTTGAATTTGTGAAATGTTTTAGAGTCATCTGTAATGTCCACTGTCCTCACCTAAACAAAGGACTGGGATTATATTCTGGAAAAGCCATAGGACATTGTATTCTTTTCTTTTATGAGCAGGAATCTGTCTTCCTAACCTGGGTGTTATCTCTACGTTGGCACACGGAAAAGAGCCTTGGACTGTGGAGAATGAATTGAAAATAACAAAAACACCAAGTGGGTGGGAATGTGTCAAAGGTATGAGCACAGGTAAGAGCTTATTTCCTTGGAGCTCTTAAAAAAAGAGAAGATTTTCTTCTTCCCATTATCACTCCATTCTTCATACATACAAATGTTTATCCTTTGTTGCTGTAGCTCAGAGATCAAGGCAGAGTCTCTGTCATAATGAACGACACTGATACCAGCTTCTGTGAACTCTGGTTCTTTGACTGTGCTACACAGGGAGGCAACACTTTCAGACACTCCTGTTCTTCATTCTGTCCCATGCTCGATTCTCTGTCCGTATGCATTAGAGCTGAGACCTCCGTAGTCCTGTTGCCTAGACCTAACAGTATGTGCCAGATAGCCCAAATGAGCAGGAAACTATAACAAGTTACTCTGGGTTGTGCAGGTGCACTCTAATGTTTGCACAGTGATGAAGTCATCTAATAGTGCATCTCACAAGGTATCGTCATTAAGTGATGGTTTACGGTTGGAACCATATGATTTGTTTCAAAGTTTCTCACCTAGAGAAGAGTTTTGCTTTGGATAAATTATACTGTCAGTCTCACCCCTACCTAAATTGGATGAGTCTTTGGACTTCAGATTTTAGAGCTGATACTTGGAAAAACTAAGACTTTTGAGGTCATTGGGATGAAACAAATATATTTGACATATGAGAATGGTATGAATTGTGGGGGACCAAGGGAGGAATATTTACTAATTATTTATAATAATATATACTAATTAAGGGCTACGGATATAGTTCAGTAGTACAGTGCCTGCCTAGTGTGCATGAGGCCCTGGGCTCAACCCCCAACACCTCAGAAAAAAAATACTAATAAGCCTATGTTTTTTTTACCTTGTAGGTATCTGTCCTACACATGTGATCCAGGAGTTATCACCTATAGAGAAGAATAGCATAGGAGAAATATCCCAAAGAATGATGTTGGAAAAACATGAAATACATTACATCCAAGACCTTTACTTCAGGGAAATCTGGGAAAAAATGTATGATATTGAATGTGAGTGGAGAAATGATGAAAGAAGTTACAAAGGAGTACCCGTCATGCAAAGAAATGAGTTTGCTGACAAAAGAGATGAATATAAAAGTCCTGTAGAAAACAAGTCTTTTGAAAATCAGCTTAAATTAAGCTGTAGGACACATCTAGCTGAGATTCAGAGACTTCACAGTGAAAGTCAAATTTATGAATGTAGTCAGTTTGAGAAATCTGGCAATACTGGTTCCTCATTCTCACCACTTCCAACAATTTCGCCCGGAGTCAACTCTACCATTGCAAAGATACATGAGAATAATCCTCTCCAACCTTTAAACCAGAAAGCACACAGAGAAAAATCTTTCAAATGTAATGAATGTGGCAAGGACTTTAATCAGGGCTCTCATCTCACCAGACATCTGATGGTCCATACTGGAGAGAAGCCATATAAATGTGATGTGTGTGGCAAAGTCTTCAGTCAGAAGTCAAACTTAGCAAGTCATCGTAGAATCCATACTGGAGAGAAACCATACAAATGTAATCAGTGTCCCAAGGTCTTCAGTCAACATTCACACCTCGAAAATCATCTGCGAGTTCATACTGGAGAGAAGCCTTATAAATGTAATGAGTGTGGCAAAGCTTTTAGGGTGCGTGCAAGCCTACTTAACCATCAGGTGATCCATACTGGAGAGAAACCTTACAAATGTGAGTGTGGCAAGGCATTTTTCCAAAGGTCACAACTTGTAAAACATCACAGAACTCATACTGGAGAGAAACCACACAAATGTAATGAATGTGGTAAAGCGTTTGTCCAAAATTCAAGTTTAGTGGACCATCAAAGAACTCATTTTGGAGAGAAACCACATAAATGTTACGAGTGTGGTAAAGCCTTTTTTGTACGTTCAGGCCTGACTAACCATCTGATAATTCATGCTGGAGAGAAACCTTACAAATGTAATGACTGTGGAAAGGCTTTTATCAATCGTTCAAACCTTAAGCGTCATGAGAGTATTCACTCTGGAGAAAAGCCATACAGATGTAATGAGTGTGGCAAAGCCTTTAGGCAGTGGTCTGACACTAGGATTCACCAAAGAATTCATGCTGGAGAGAAACCATACAAATGCGATGAGTGTGGCAAAGCCTTTACTCAAGTTTCCCACCTCAGTAAACACCAGATAATTCATACTGGAAAGAAACCATATAAATGTGATCTGTGTGACAAGGTCTTCAGTCAGAATTGCCATCTTTCCAGCCATCGGAGAATTCATACCGGAGAGAGACCTTATAAATGTAATGAGTGTGGCAAAGCCTTTAGGCACTGGTCTGAAATCAGGATTCACCTAAGAATTCATGCTGGAGAGAAACCTTACAAATGCAGTGAGTGTGGCAAAGCCTTTACTCAGGGTTCCCACCTCAGTAAACACCAGTTAGTCCACACTGGAGAGAAACCATATAAGTGCGATATGTGTGATAAAGTCTTCAGTCAAAATTCCCATCTTGCGAGCCATCGGAGTATTCATACTGGAGAGAGACCTTACAAATGTAATGAGTGTGGCAAAGCCTTTAGGCAGTGGTCTGACATCAGGATTCACCTAAGAATTCATGCTGGAGAGAAACCATACAAATGCAGTGAGTGTGGCAAAGCCTTTACTCAGGGTTCTCAACTTAGTAAACACCAGATAATCCATACTGGAAAGAAACCATATAAATGTGATCTGTGTGACAAAGTCTTCAGTCAAAATTCCCATCTTTCGAGTCATCGGAGAATTCATACCGGGGAGAAACCGTACAAATGTAGTGAGTGTGGTAAAGCTTTCCGCGTGCATTCTAGCCTAACTTATCATCAGGTAATTCATACCGGAGAAAAACCTTACAAATGTAGGGAGTGTGGCAAGGCCTTTATCAAACCACTGCACCTTCGACATCATGAAAGAGTCCACACTGGAGTGAAGCCTTACAAAGGTATAGAATAGAATGCGACAAGCCCTGTAGACAGTGCTGTGACATCAGTGCTCAAAGAATTCACACTGGAGAGAAACCCTACAGATGTGATGAGTGTGACTAGGCCTTTCATCAGGGCTCCCATCTTAGTACATGTCAGATAATCCACACTGGAGAGAAACTGTATCAGTGCAATGTATGTGGCCAAGTCTTCAGTGAAAAGTCACACCTTGTGAATCGTCTCAGAATTCATACTGGACAGAAGCCTTGGGAATGCAATCAGTGTGGCAAAGCCTTTAATGTGCTTTCATGCCTAACATCAGCTAATTCATACTGGAGAGAGAGCTTACAAATGTAATGAATGTAGTAAGGCTTTGAATAGATGTTCACACCATAAGCTTAAGAGAAAATTCATACTGAAGAGAAGCCATATAAATATATTGAATGTGGCAAGATGTTTAGTCAGTGATCTCACCACAGGATTCACCAACCATTCTGGAGAGAAACCTTAGAGATGCAGTGAGGTTAATAGAGCCTTTACTTAGGTGTCACATCTCACTAATTATCAGATAATCCATACTGAAGAGAACCTTACAAATACAATGAACATAGCAGAGCTCTTAAACGTGGCCCTAAACTCAAGGTGCACCAGGTCCAAATGGCAGTGAATATAGCAAAATTTTAAAGTTGTACTCACTGTTTTTTAGGTATAAGAATATACATCTTGGAGAAAAATCAGTAAATATGTATGGCAAAGATTTTACCTCAAGATCAAAATTTGAGGCATATCAACTTGTACTGAAGATAAACCCTGTAAATGCAATGACTGACAAAACCTCTTAGCAGCAGTCATGTGCTACATGACTTCAGGGAGTCCATGTTGAAGAGAAACAGAGGCTTTATTTAGGTCTGTCACTATACCAAACAGATGATCCTTATTCCTTGGAAGAATACAGATGCTAAATTTTAAATTCCTGTATTGCATGTTAGTAGGTGGTAGAAGAAAATGTAGAGCTCTAGGTCCTCATGCTTATGATGCCAGATAGTGCCACTGTGTGTCATAGAAAGGATTTTTCTACTAACTGACGAAGACATAGCTATTTATGGTAGATAGATCACTAGGATCTGATAATACTGCAGGGAAGATTATGGTCACCCACATTGAATGGCAATAGTTGTTAAATGTCAAAGATTAAAGAAAAGTTAGGGTTAATCTTGAAAATTGAAGAGAAAATGTCATAAAGAGTTTAATCAAAAGAGCTCAAACAGCATTTACACATGTAAATTCACATTTAACAAGCATATTTTTATTCAGAATGTATTTTATATTTTTATATAATCCTGAACAAATTTTGCCATGGTTTGTACCTTGACTTAACATGCAGCAAAAGTAAAGATACAGTAAGCATATGAGAAATAAATTCAGGAAGCAGGATAATGTAGACAGTGTTAACTTTTTAAAAATTGGTATTTGTTGCCAAAACATTGTTTTATTTTTGGGGGTGCCAGAGATTAAATCTGAGATACATGCATTGTAGGTAAGCACTCTACCACCGAGCCATATCCCTAGCAAAAAACATTTTTTGTTGATGTACACTTGTGACCACTCCACACGTGGAACTTCACCCAGGGCTTGGTTCGAATATTGAAACTGATAGTGCCATAATGCTAAAGTATTATGAGAATGAATCTATGTGGGAGAGAGTAGTATAGACTTCCTAACTAGTCCATCATGGCTAGAAGAATCTGGTGAGGACTGGCTTAGTGTTACTTGGTTACTGGGTGGGGCTGAGGTAAGGGTAACCGTATGCAGCATGAAATTGCTGCTGCTGCCGAAAGAAGGAGCAGGGTTTATATCAGTTTGCCAACTGGGCAGAACAAAAAGAGGACATAAATTTGAAAGGTGTCAGTAGCAAATGTCATAAAATGGTACTCATAAGTACAGTCTCAATCTTTACTTGGGGTTCTTGACTTCTGCTTGGGAAAGACCACAATTTTCCACATGCTACTAACTACCATTTCCTGTTGCATACTTCCCTGTTGCACAATAGGAATGTTAAAACATGCTTATACTGTCACATGTCTTGGTACACACCAGCAATCCTAGCACTCCAGGAGGCTGAGGTAGGAGGATCTCAAATTTGAGTACAGCCTGGGCAACATAGAGAATTAGTGAGACCCTGTCTCAAATACAGAAAAAAAGGCGGGGGTTGGGGTGGGGCTATAGCTGTGTGAAGGCCCTGGTTCAATACCAGTACTGCCAAAACAAAGTGAAACACCAAACAACTGCTTATAAATTACTGTTTAGGTATATTCTGTGATGTTTTCAGATTAGTGTGTTGAAAATTATATGTGAGTAAACAGTTTCATTAGAATAATTTTCCAGAAACTATAAAATGCTCATTTTAATTACAGTATTAAACTATATACTACATGGTTTATTTTCAATTGTAGAAAAATTTTCAGTGTATTGGGCTGTTCTTTGGAGGGGTTTTTTGTTTTGTTTTTTGAAGATCTTGATATGTTGACTGAAGTTGGCCTCAAATTTGCTGTGACCCTCCTGTCTCAGCCTCTCAAGTGCTAGGATTACAGATATGTGCCACCACACCCAGCTTTTTAATTTTTTTAAATATAACTTTTTCTTACTATTTTTTCTTTGTCTTATAACCCAGATGATACGTTTAATATACCTTTCCCCTGTTGCTCTCCAGGGGATACATAAATCCACAGTGGTTTTCAGACATAAAAATCCAAGGTAATGATAAATACAGTTTGGGTACTAGAGTATAAAGAAGGGTTGAGTCTAATTCATTAATGAGGTGGGATGATGCAAGATAGATGAAATCTCATAGTTGTAGGTGTTGCTTGAAGTCAGGTGCTTGAAATTAAGTGTGTGGGCAATAAGCAGCAATAAGGAAAAAAATTGATAAAGTCACCAAGATTCCAGCTAAAATTTGTGATGAGACAAATTGCCTGAAGACCATTCTGCCACTTCCTAGTGACAGAGTCCTATTCAGACCCAGACAATCTTGTAGGAAAACAAAAGTTTGTCCAACATTTATGTGATAGCTGACACAAAATTTCCTTCCCTTAGGTTTGTCCCCATCCAAAAATAATATTTTCTTTTAATAGGTGATTTCTGAAGTTTGTGAGTGTATTGTCCTTTATATCACAGTGGGTAAGAGTCACTACTTCACTTGAGGTAGCAGAATTTTCAGCTCTGAACTGAGTAGTGTCACTTGGATTTTAAAAATGAAACAGGATAAAGAATTTATAGAGATTCATCTGCTCTCATCCCAGGATGTAGCTGAATCAGGATTCATGTTGTCTAGGTGCAAAGATGAGCATTAACCATGACACCATAACAAGGCTGGTTCTGCCCTTCACTTACTCGGTATCTCTAGTTAATTTTGTTATTTCTTGACACTTTAATGGCTTTTTTTTGAGACACTAGCGTTCTGTCACCAACTTGCCCAGGTTGGATTTGATCATCTTTGCCATGTTTATACATAACTGTGATTGTGGTATTATGTCTACACTTTCATTTTATCATCCAAGTTACTATGAATAAATCAATAAGATGTAGATATGCTGATGACTACCAAATCCTACAAGCAAATTACTCCAGGATGACAGGTTTATTGAGGCAAGAATGGTTAACCGTTGTGGAGACAGAAGACAGATTCCCCTTTAAGCCAAGAGCAAGAGTGAAACAATGCCAACCATTAAAATAATTGGACAATATTGTGGTAAGCTAATATGTAGAACCCAAAGTAGGATTAGGAAATAAGAGAGGATAGCAACTAAATTATTGATTACAGATTGTGTTCATTAACAGATGGTGTCTTGGTTACTTTTTTCTCGCTGCTGGGACAAAATACCTGACACCCAAAATTAAGGAAGGAAAGGTTTATTTCGCTTACAGTTCGTGGAAATTTTAATCCGTACTTGGCAGGATTATAAGGCAGAGTGGCACATGGCAGAGAGCTGCATCTCAGGGCAGCAGCACACAGCTAACCCGCAAGCACTCACCAGGGCGGAATGGGGGAGGAATGCCCTCAAGTACCCTTTTCCTCTCCCTTACATATGCAAACTATCCACCCCAGGGCGGGTATAGCTCTCACACCCACAATTATTCAACTCTAAAAGCCTGCCCGGTGACCGCATGAGGCTTTGGAGGGGACACAGACATAAACCATAACAGATGGCTATTAAACTTTACTAATAATTATCAAGTAGACTTGAAAGACATGCATCTAGAAGGTGTAATGTGCGTTAAATTGAAATTGATTTGTATTGAGACTAGAAGTGACGTTTGAAATTTTTAAAACGTTGAAATACAATTCACATACTATGGAATTGAACATTGTTCATTTTAAGTATACAGTTCAGTAACTCAGTACATTTACAGAGTTGAAAAACCATCCCCGCATTCTAGTTTTAGAACGTGTCAGTCCATCCAACACATTTTTTTTTTAACAAAGTTTATGCAGTCTATGACCAGAACGGTGGCAAGAATGAAGTTCGTGAACCAAGCCACCATTGTATATAAAATTTTGTGGGGGTTGAACCCAGGGCCCAGCTCTTCCTTATTTTTGACTGTTCCCCTCTTTAACCCAGCCCTTTTTCTTTTTTTTTTTTTTATTTTGAGACAGAGTTGCCAAATCTAAATTTCCCAGGTTGGGCTCAAATTTGTGATCCTCTTGACTTAGCTTCCTAGAGTACTTAGATTGCAGATGTGTGCTTCCGTGCCTGGTGATACATACTAGAATGTGGAAATAGCTAGCATCTTTTTCCAGCTCTCTTGGTACATAAACTCGTCAGGGACACTGACTTTTCCTAAAAATGTTTCTTTTTGTGAACTTGAGGGAACCCTCCCAGTTAAATGTGTAGCATGACCGGCATTAGGGAAGAAACACAGTCTAGCCATGTTTACTCAGCAGTTTATGTTCAGCCTTTCTTCACCCTTCCCAGGTGGAAGTTGCCTTCCAACTTGCAACTGTGTTGTGACTTGGCACAAAGAGCAGATGCCAGCACCATCCCACTGAACTTCCCATTCTCCAAAGTCATGACCCAGTACAAAATTGTTTTTAAATAACCTAGTCTCAGGCATTTTGTTATAGTAATGCAAAATGGGTTGAAAACAAAAAGGGTAAAAACAAATGGATGAAAACAAAGGTAAGACAAAATTCTCCTTTGCATAGAAATTAGGACTCCTACCAATAGGAAGTTAATTCTCTAGAAGTGTCAGAAGACCTAGAACTGCCAGTAAAATGCAAACTCCCAGGCCATATCAGGCCCAGTAGAAGTCATCAATATCAAGACATGTTTTTTTCAACAGTCTGCTTTAACATGTAATTAATAGAAAATGGTACGCTTAGTGAGGACAAGGCTGGCTGGGGCCTCTACCTGCTCACCTGGCAGGTTCTGCTAGGAAATGACCTCTGCATGCACCCAACTTAACCTGGACAAACTCAGCAAGCCACCTGCTTCTGGCCATATGGGATTTCAGAAGCAGAAAGCATAGATACCAAGGTAGGCCAGAGCTAACTTACTCTTGAGTCCAGCATCACCACCACGAGAAACAGTAACAGCAAACCGCAGGCCCTGTGGGCAGCTGTGTACCCAGAGGCTTAGGCAGTTCATTTCTCAGCCATCAGGAGATCCCTGTGGGCAGTTGGTTTTACCAAGAAACCTAGAGAAGCTCTGGGTCATGCTCCAGAAGCGTGGTGGCAGAAAACCGGTTGTTGTAACTTAAATGAAAATTTTAGAGATACCATTTGCTTCTTATGTCCTACCGGGTATGGAGGCACACACCTGTAATCCCAGCACTCAGGAGGCTGAGGCTGGAGGATCCCTTCAAACTCAAGGACAGCCTGCATTATATAGTGAGATCCTATCTCAAAGAAACAACCACATACAACAACAACAGAAAGTGGTACGTCCTAGGTAGTAAAATTTTACCCTGAATCACAATGGAATTGTAGAAGCAATAGTTGAATGACAAGAAATATGAAGAAGAAGTAAACGTAAGCTACTGAGACTAGGGATTTTTGTTGCCATGGAGTAACTTGTGAAAAGCTCACTGGCATATCTTTGTTTGTATTTGGTCTTTTTGAGACAGGGTCTCGCTATGCAGTTCAGGTTGGCCTTGAACTGACTGTAGCCCAGGCCGGGCCTTGAACTCACATTGATCCTCCTGCCTCAGCCCCCTGAGTGCTAGGATTACAGGCGTGCGCCACCATGCCCAGCTGACTGGTACATTTTTAGTATTTCTTTTATCCAACTTAGCTTCCCAAAGATGGGATCTCATTGTACTTGTATTACTTTTGATATCTCCATTGCAGGATTCCTTTCTTAGGGCAGCACGTACCTACAGTCCCAGCTGCGGAGGCCAGTCTGGACCACAAAGTGAGGCCCTGTATCAAAACAGAA